GGGGGGGGGGGGGGGGGGGGGGGGGGGGGGGGGGGGGGGGGGGGGGGGGGGGGGGGGGGGGGGGGGGGGGGGGGGGGGGGGGGGGGGGGGGGGGGTTACATTGCAAAACCAGTTTTAGTTTATTACCACAAAATCTAACCTTGCCGCAGGGGAAAGTCCCAGCCACGGTCAAGTTTCGTTTCCTCCTCTTTGGGCACAGAAGCAGGCGACAGAGGGGCTCAGCAGCACACAGGACCCCCGCCCCTCACACAAACTAACCTAAGGGAGCCAACCGGAAATTCCCCCTGCAGAGAAGGTTCGCCAAGTTGAAAAGAGTTTCATCCTTAAGTGTTATTTAAAATAAATAAATAAAAATAAGGGCGCAAAAGCACCTCCTCAGTCACAATTATTCCACAGCTGCTTAGGAGCTGCTTAGGTTCTGCTTAGGTGGATTCTTTAGTTTTTCACCTCTGCCCATTCAAGGTAAGCATTTTCTTAGCTGCAGCAAAGGGACAATCCATACCACTTATGTTACACGACAGCCCAGAATTCCATCATCGGTGAGAACGCCAGCCAAGGGCTCTCCCGGCCCTGGGAGCCCAGGCTACCAGGCCTGGTGAAAGCTCCTGGAGGGTCATTTCACACGCGGGCTGGAGGTGTACTCTGCACTGCAGGCGGGACACCGGGGAGGGATGAGTCACCCGGGGGATGGGGGGGTTTCCACCACTGCCTCTGCTCACTCCCAGCCCTGACAATCTGGCTTCCTACTCACAGAAACTGCCCTTTCATGGAACCCCGGGACCTCTTGCTGGCCGAGGTGGCCCTTCTTCCCACCTCCCTCCCGGAGCAATCTCAGGTTCTCATCCCTGCACTCCTGGCACCTCACATTATTGTGGGTCCTTTTCCATAGCCCACTCCTACCAGGCTGCAAGTCACGTGCAGCTGTGCCACAGAGGCGTCCTCCCTCCTGTGTCCCTGGCTCAAGGGGGCAGCTGAAAGACGTGTGCCACGTGCGGGCCCCCGCTGCACACCTGTGTCAACAGCAGCAACTTTAGACTCTCAAAGACACACCTGGAGCCTCCCTTCCAAGACGCACTCACACGGGATGGCAGGTGTCAGGTGGCGAGTGGAGAGAGAGCCAGCAGGAAGACTGGCGGCACCGAGTCGCATCTGACAGCAGTCGGGAGGTGAGAGGGCTGGCTGGAGTTGGTGGAACAAGAGAAGTGGTGACAGAGTCACAAAGGTCTTCCCACAGGAACTATCACTAGTGCCATGTTGCTACCAGGAGGACAGGAGCTGCATCTGCTTGGATCATAGAAAGCAGTCGAGGGAGAACGTCTACCCCAGACACGTCTAGGGCTGGATGAGCTTCTCCGAGGTAGTGAGTACAACTTCACATTTAAGGGAGGCCTGTGGGGAGCAGCCCTGGGGCAGAGCCAGCCCTGCTGGAGGACCCGGGAAGGGTTCAGTCCATGCTTCCTCATTGGCTTTTGGGTCGGGGCATATCCCACAGTGTGACACTACTTACCCCTTTCTATTTCTTTGGATTCCAATTCATAGCTATGCTGGCCAAATGAAGGCTGCTCTCACCCCCAACTCAAACAACGAAAGGGAGGAAGAAACCACAACACAGAAACATGTTAGAAGCTTCACGTAAGACAAAATAAAGTCAGACTTTGGGGCAGTGGTCCTTAAAATGTTTGTCACAGACCCCACTGGGAATCTGATGAAACACAAATCTGTCCCCAAGAGATCTAAACAGAGGTGGCTGCAGCACAGGGCCCCTGCATCCTGTACCCCGACTGGGTCCGCTCTGAGACCACTGAGGAGCTCACAGACTCAGCAGGAAAAGAGACGGGAATTATTCTCTCTGCAGGGGCTCCTGAGTTGTTTGGGGTCCCTAAAGATCACACAGGTAAACCCCTATCCCCAGGGACACCCTTGAATCCCTGTTGTGTGTTCCAGGCAGCTGAACACCAGCCAGATATGGTCCCAGAGATTTGTCACACCACAACCCACGCCCAAGCGGGTCAGGGAAAGGCTCAACTGAGCCCTGTCCCTGTAAATCCAGACCCCTGCCCTGCACTTACCATCACGAGCTCCTTCTGGAAGGACTTGCGGTCTTTGTTCTCCATGTTGTTACAGTCCTCCTTCAGCTTTTCCAGAACGGATGCCACCCGCTCGGGCTCACTGTCCAGCTCTGCGCGGCAGAAAGAGGTGAGTGGCAGGTTCCCGTAGCCCAGGGCGTCGGCGAAGGAGCGCCAGCTGCTGATGTTCTCCATGAGCAGGGTCCTCACCGAGGCATAGATGTAGGTGAGGAACTTGCAGGGCCTGAGAATCTGCTCCAGCAGCACCGAGGTGCTCAGCTCGGGCCCTGAGAACAGGCTGGGCCTGGCCTTCCCCACCACCAGCACGTTCTTGGCGTGCACGAGGCCGACCTTGCCCTGGTAGTAGCCGATGTACCACTCCTTGGTCCACAGCTGCCCCTTCAGCCGGATGCGCTCTTCGCTGAGCAGCGCGACCGTGTCGCCCTTCTTGTACTCCAGCAGGTAGTGGTTCTTGTTCTGTCGCACCACGGTCTTCAGCAACTTGCCGAACTTGAGACTGGACACCGGGCGGTCCTGGAAAGTCGGGTACTTCGTGGTGGCGGCAAAGGGGGACAGAATGATTTTCCCTACTTCGTTCTTTTTGAGAAACCTCCTCTGCCCGGACGGCTTGATGGCACTCTTGGGGGGTGGCTGAGGAGTCTGCACGCAAAACTGGGTCAGGATGGCCTCCTGGTCGTCTTTCACCTGCACCCTGAGCGTGAAGTCGGAGAGCTCGCCGGGGTTGTGGGAGATGATGGGGAAGATCAGGCGGCTCACCTTGCCCAGCTTCATCTGAAAGCCTCTCACGACCTTGGCTTGCTCGCTGGCTCGGACCTCGTAATTGGTCATGTTGGAAAACATGCAGACTTTGAGGTCTTGGGGCCTGGACAAAATGAACTGATGCTTACCCCACAGTTGCAAGGCCACTGGGGCAGGGCTGGGGGTCTGGCGGGTGACCTCGCTGACCAGGAGAGTCTTTGGGGCACAATCATGCCCAAAAATGGTCACCACTGTCTTGAAGGATGGGTGGATGTGTTTGGGACCATAGAGACCCACGGTGACTTTTTTATTGATGAAGTCCCATACGGTGGAAGGATAGAGGATGTTTGGGCCGTGGGCAACAATAGCCAGGTACATGCAGGGCTCTAGGTTGTCCAGCTGCACCTGGACCGTGTCCCCATAGCTGTAGGTGAGCGGGATGGAGACATATGGCCCTTCCTTTGAGTCGCTCCTCAGGCACTGGAGGCCCACTGTGCTTTTGCTAAAAATGTCATTTTTTACCTCGGCTGAAACTTTCATCTCCAACATGATAAAAGTTTTCACTTCCAGGTTGCTGAGCTTGACTTCTAACACGGGGCTGATGCTGCTGGACTTGTCGCTGTTGAGTTCCAGCGGAGGGTCCAGCAGGGCCTTCATGGAGATCTGCTGCGTCTCCCCAGGGGCCACGTGGCCCTCGGGCACATGGATGCTGATGCTGGTGTCGGGAAGCTGCACAGCACCCCCGGAGCTATCCAGCTTGCACACGATGTTCGTCTCCACAGCTTGGGTCTGGCCCCAACCGGGACTTTGGCCAAGCAAATCCAAGTCGTGGCAAGACCGGGCCAGCTTCCGGTGGTTCAGCCATGCAGTTCGAAAATCCTCCCGGCTCTGAAACTGCTCGGGGGCGGGGGACTTCAAGCCCGTGAAAAAACTCGATGACGTGGGGGCATCGGACTTGGCTTGGAGGACAGAGAGTTCTGACAGACTGTAGGAGCGCTTGCTCCTGAAGAAGGGGTTGTCCCGCTTGACCGGAGGCTCTGCATGGAGTCCACTGGTGGCCGGAAGCTCGTCAAAGATGTTGCCGGTGCTATTTGTGGTCGCTGAGCTGGATTCAGTAAACGAGGACGTGCCGGTGTCAAAAAGCAGCCAATCCACAGTACTTTTGGGATTCAGCTCATCCAAGCTGGGCATCACGGTCACATTCCCATTCAGAAATGGATTTGTCTGGACCCCATTCCAGAAAGGGTTATTACTATAGGTTTTGCCCGATCCTCTCTTGTCATCTGCCCATCCCCCCAGCAGGTCTAACTCCTTGGCCACTTCGTCTGGGCTGTCTGGGAGATTGTCAATCATACCGCTGTCGCTTAATGTTGAGTTCCGGTAGTTTAAGGGCTGCACGTAGGAGGAAGGGATGTAGCCTATTTCGGTGGTGTTGTGTGCGTACCACCACTCGCCACCCGATGTGTCCAAGACGTAGAGGTGGTCGCCCTTGGAGAACTTCAGGGTGGTGAAGTTGGTTGGGCAATAGTCCTTGATTGCGATCACTTCCTTTGCGTTTCCAAAAGGTGTGGGGCTGTCTACGAGCAAGGCACTGGGAGAAGGCACTGCGCAAAAGAAAGAAACAGATGTGAGGGTCTGCACGAGGGGCCGCAGGACGCTTCCAAACTAGGGAGAGAGGTGGCGTAAGAGAGACGTGGACAACAGCCAGGCAAGTAACCTACAGAAACAAGCCGAAGAAATAAGCCAAATTCACCTGCTGATGAACTGACACAGGGCAGTACCATCACGTGGTCACTTTCCAATTAGATGGTCTATGTCAGGAAGAAAGACCAGGAAGAAAGTCTCCTGATCACCCTGAGAAAGGCAAATCAGCACATGTAATGTTTAACATGTCCCCACGATCTGAACATCTCATTTTTCTTTATCTAATTTCTAACAGAACTGCTACTATATAGAAAGAGAAGCCGAATGTGACTTAGTTAGCACAGTGATGTTCTGAGTTGGGTGACCCATCGCACGTACCCAGGGACTGGAAATGAAGACTCAAAAAAAATCTCTCAATAACATGTATGAGCCGATTCCGTGTTCTGACTTCAGCAAGAAATATGGAAATGGAGTGAAAGGTTCCCTTGACGATCAGTCTGGGTTCTCAAACTTCCAAGTTCAACCCATGCTCGCCAAACTGTTTCTTCAGATGAAGTACAATTGTTGAGGTCTCTTCCAACCTCTTTTAAATGATCATTCCAAATAACAACATGGAAACCAACTCTACCACGCACCTTGGAAATTACACGTTTATGTCTGGTTGTGTTCATCTTACTACAGAACAACCGTGTAAGTAGTCTGAAAAATTCCAACACTTTAAAGAGTGAATCAAGTTAATTTACGGTTCTTGGCATTAAACTATATATGTTACCAATGTACACAGCAATTGGAACAGCAAAAAATAAGTCATCTAAACAAGTGGTGTGTGTTTAGAGAATAACAGGTATGATTAAATACCCAAGTATTTTCTCTCCCTCCTATACATGAGAACGTGTATCTAGAGGATGAAGAAAGTTCTTTCTGATGGAAATAAAACCATATACTTGTCTCCAGGAATTCCCCCTCCCCAATCACCTTGTTTAGAGTTTGCTGATATTCTGGCTTACTGTAACAAACAATTGAAAGAAATAAAACTTTTTTTTCTAGTTGCATATGCAACAAGCAAAAAGGACAGAATTTTTGTTTGAATGAAACCTACATTTTTTTCTCATATGTGGTTAAGTTGAAAGTCATCATATTATATCAAATTAGCCCTCCAAAAAGATCATCTGTCAGTTTCCATTTCTTTGAAAGGAAATAATGAAAATTAAATTGCATTTTCTTGGCAAAGTCTTAGAAAATAAGATAGGAAGTTTCTACTCATTGATGCTTACCAGGTTACAGTTACACCTGGCTGGGAGCATACGTGGGCCCTGGAGTCTCACCTACCACCCTCCTGTAAAAGTGCCACTGAGCTGGGAGAAGTGGGCTCTGGGGTCAATAGATCTCTGCTTGAATCCTGGCTCTGAGAAGCTGTGTGGTCCTCAGAGTGCAAGATTCTTCACGATGGAGGAAAAGCATCTTTGCCCAATGGGCTGTGGTGAGGATTACATGAAATGATGCAGGCAAAGGTGCTCAGCGTAACGATGCTTAACCCAAGGTCAGGACATACAACATGTGACGCAAAACAGACATCGCCATCCCCCTCCCAATGCTATTTTTCTCCATAGCACTTACCATCAACCACCATATCATGTAGCTGATGGGGTTCAGGACACCCCAAAACATGGCACTGTGAATATTTTAAGCTGAAGGAATTTGACACACAGCAGGTGCAGGAAGGACTCGCAGAGCTTCTCCTAAAGCTGGTCATAAGACCCTACGTGAGAGATGCCCTCCTGATATGCAGAGGACAGGACCATCCTGTCTCCAGAGACACAGGGGAGCTGAATGCACAGGCCTGGCTGTCCCCCAGTTAACTATACTTAGCTCATACTTTTCTCCATGACTCTACAATTCATCAAAGCTAGCATAAAAACACTCAGGTTTAACTGTTTCTTCAGGTCTTCATTTCCTTATAAAGGTTCCTTGTCACATAAAACATAGATTAAATAAGTTTGCATGTCTTTCTCTTGTTAATCTGTCTTTTGTTACAGAAGCCCCAGCCAAGAGCTCAGAAGGCTAGAAGGAAAAGATATTTTTCCTCCCCCGCATACCTTACATAAGTGCTCTGTTTTGGGGGAAGGGCTTCCTCTCCCCGTCAGACGTCAGACGTAAGCTCCACTGCAGGCTGGTTTGTTCACTGCTGCACGCCTGGCGTCTAGCACAGGCCTGGCACACAGTGGGCGCCGAATGAACATTCGTGGAATGAATCGGTCACCGTGCATGAATCGGTCACCGTGCATGCTTAAACACCAGGGAGAGGCCATGTCCACGTCACTGGATCAAGGTGTTGGCCAAAGTCAGAAAACCACAACAGAGACCAATCCTTAACACTGAAGGATGGCAATAAACAAAAACAGCAACATGAAAGAAGATGGGGGGCGGGGGGGGCTGGGCTGGGGCAGAGGGCAGCAGAGGCTCTTCTCCCCAGGGCTGTTTGCTAGTCATGGTCTCCAGTAATAGGAACCGTCCTGTTCCCTTGACACGTCTACTGGAAGTGTCACATAAAAACTAAACCCTAATGAAAATTAAATAAAACTTGCCAGCCGTTAAAATCTTGTTAGAATCCCTCAAAAGTTATATCCTTATTCAGCTCCCTAGATAACTTACCTTACAGTAATATTTTCAAAAATTAAAAAAACCAAAGCAATTAGGTATGCTTTGTGCACAGCCTAAAATGTATCAATGCAAATTATCACTTCAGTTTTACTGGACTGAAGAACAGACATAGGTTTGCTTTAAATTCCAAGCACTCTCCTGCGAAGAGAAGCGATAACAGATTTCACTTAAGGATCAGGCTCACCCGACAGGAAACGACCCTCCCTCCCCTCGGGACCCCCACAAGGTACACGGTGGGGTGAACTCCCTTCTACAGAGGCCCCATCAGTCAACTGCCACCAAGCACCAGGGGCCACGAGGGAAGGTCTTCCATCTCATCAAATGCCAGAAAATCCCTATCGAATTCCATCTTAATGGATTCTCACCAGTGTTGCCCAGATCACAGCTACCTTGATTTTAACACCAAAAATATCCCTGGGTGTTAGGCAGTCCAGTGCACAGAGTAATACTTTTTCTATCCCTCTGCCTAAGTTCATATGCAGGCAAAATGTTAATCAGGGCAGAATACTTCACAGCAGATATTTCAGCTGGAATAAATTCCCACCTTGAAGTCTCTATCATCAGGGTGTGTGTGGAGCTGCTGGCTGGAATGGTGCCTGGGTCACACGCTGCCTCCCCTACCCCCAGGAGAGTCCATAGGGTCCCATGGTCCTGCCCAACCTCAGATTCTCAAACCCCCTCCCCGCAGCAAGCCAGCCCCTCCTCACATTCCAGGCTGTCTGGCTTGGCTTCCCCTCCCAACCACCATGTTCTTTTAGGGATAATAGCCAATATTTCCTCCCAGATCGTTATCAATTTTCCTAAAAAATTTAGCTCTCTGCCCCCTTGCTTTCAGACTTTGGCTCAAACCACACAATTTATGCTCACATTTTCTAGCTTTAACTCTGATTAGTTGGGCTATAAATAAGAAAACAATGCCCATTACCTGGTATAAAAAAATAAATGGTTCAGTGATTTACAGCAACACACAGTAACTCTATAATTATCTTATCAATATAATCTCACAGTTCCCTTTGCTAGTCTTTTTCTTTTAAAGCAATGCTCAGGGCTGCAAACATAAAGCAGACATAGGAAGAGGATGTGTTAGAGATAAAGTGAAAGGGAGAAGCTAATCAATTAGAAACACATAAACATGGTATGTATAATCTACAGTGTATCAGAGTAGAGGGCCACTGTTTTATCTGGGGGACAGCAGTTTAGCACAAGAAATACTTTATTTAGCACTGACTTTGTGCCAGGGGCTAAGAATACAAAGGTAAAGTTGCCGCTGTTCACCTGTGCTCCAGGAGGACTAGAGAATGCGGTAAATGCCCTGAGAAAGCCAGGTGATGAGGATATTGCTGCTGCTGCTGCTGCTGAAGACGCACAACCCACCTGAGGCTGAACGTGGCTTGGTGAGGTCAGGGGCGACTCCTAGGAAGAAAATGAGGCACTTGCTACCCACCTCCATGTCCAAAAGATATGTCTTTTTTTTTTTTTTTTGTGACCGGTAAGGGGATAGGAACCCTTGGCTTGGTGTCGCCCACACCGCGCTCAGCCAGTGAGCGCACCGGCCATCTTTATATAGGATCCGAACCCGCAGCCTCAGCGCTTCTAGCACCGCTGCGCTCCCAGCGCTGCACTCTCCCAAGTGAGCCACAGGTCTGGCCCAAGATAAGCTGTTGGAGAAACCCGTGACCCAAGGTGATTAAACCCTGGGGCCACCTTCTAAATCCAGGTCCCCAAACCACGGCACCTGGGCCGAATGCAGCTGCTGGCTGTTCTGTAATTAATCTTGTACTGAAAGAGCCACGTCTGTTTGTCCATCCACTTCTATAGCTGCTTTCACGCTACAAGGGCGGTGCTGAATGGCTGTGATGGAGGCCTGACGGCCTGCAAAGCTTAAAATACTTATTACTGGACCCTTCACAGAAAGAGTGTGCTGACCCCTGTCCTGGGCCACCTTTTTCCTTCGCTGGAGGTCCTCTGTATTTCATCTACTCACCACGCTCTCCTTTCCCCTAGATTTCTACACCACCAAGTTCCCTGCTTTATCAACACCAAAACTCATGAAGAGAACACAAACACACGGGTACTTCAAAAAGTTGATGGAAAGATTCACATTATCTCTTAACTCGATTTTTCCACGAACTTTTTGAAGTGCTTTCCTATTTCATATTAAGGAGGGGTTTCCTTACTAAGGAAGGGCATTCAAGACCTCCTCCCAACGCACCAAAAGACAAGTGACTATTGCTCCAAGGCTGAATTTATAATACAGTGCAGTTCAGACAGCTACAGTTTAATCACCTGGAGGCTGCATCAGGAGCCTTTATAGCAGAAAAGCCCTTGGGTTTGCAAGCATGTGCAAATCCCAGTCACTCCTGGCCATGGTTCTGTTCCCCTGAAGCTCACCTTTAACGTCATTAAAGCTCGTCTCTGAAAACCCTTCACTCAGGTCGATCAAGGTCCCCTCGGACTTGCACCGAGGGAGCCCACTGGAGGTGGCAGCTCGGATCCGCTGGGCTGCCATTCTGTGACTCTCTTCCTGGGAGAGCAGCTAGGGCTGCATGTTCCTTCCTCCAGTGACTCTAGCAGACGCAGAGGCTTCCGTCTCAAGCGACCATGCTGCACGCCGGCGTCCACTTGGCAGTGTGCTTCTTCCTGAAAGTAGGGGAGGGAAAAAGACAATTTCTCTTGAGCAAGTGAAACATGGCTTCAATGGTAATTTTATGGGAAGAGGGAATCCTCTTTCTTCCAGGCCAATCCGATGAAGATAGACCCATTTCATCTCTCTTGGCCCAAGACAGCAGAGCAGCGCCCGCTCCCTGGGCACACACAGCCCGGGCAGTGTTTCCTGGCCTGCTGTCTGCACCTGCTCTTCCTGGGGGCACAATGAGGTTTGTGAAGTCTGCTCCAGCACCTGGCCGGCCCATTCATTCCAGTCAAAGAGGAGGACAAAACAGGCCTGTACAGTCCACACGGCTAGTTCCAGGACTCAGAAAAGGAGAAATCAGTTTCTGACTGTCCGAGAGTGTCTGGTCCCACTGGAGGAATGGCCACCATGGTGACTCAGCACCTGGGAACAGGGAGCTGTGAGCACAAGTCGCTCTCCCAGCCCTGCTTGCAGAGGCCTGGAGGGGATGCTCCCCAAATTCTCCATGGACCCCCAGTAAACAATCGTAAATACAAGGCACTGTGGCCAGAGGGTATTCCTGGTGTAACTTATGCAGATGAAATCAGGCATATTTACTGACCCCTGCGGTGTTACTAACTCAGCGCAAGATGTTTCTGTGGGAGAGAACGTAAGAATCGCCCCTTGGCACACAGAACTTCATCATTTGGGGGACTCTGGATACGACTGAGGTGACTGGCTATGAGTGGACCCTTCACCAGGGCCTTGGACAGGAAATAGGAACAGCTGAGAGCTGATTTCAAAGCGGTGAATTTCATGCACTCTCCAAGAGAAGCAGGCAGACGCCACCGCGGCTGGCCACAGCACTCCGCGCTGAAGAGCAGGTGAATCTCACCCCAAATTAACTGGGCTCATATAACACGGCCTGAGGTCCCTTATTCCTTAATTACTCTATCCAAAGGCAGCTGAAAGTGCAGCGCTGAGCCAGATGTGCTGCCTTTGCATTCAGAGACACCTGGAGGTCCCTACCACTGCCACCAGCTTCTGCAGTAGGGGACGACATGACCCTGCCCATGGCTCAGAGGGGACTGTGTGGTGAGTAGACCCAGGTTTGCATCCGCACTTTGCGGCATTTGAAGATGACCTTGTGTTCAATATCTAAACCTGCTAAACTTCAGTTTTCATGTTAGTAACCTGAAATAATAGTGCTGCCTTGGTTTGATTTGTGTGAAGAATAAATAAGATAATCCAGGTAAGGTCTTGGGACATGGAACAAGGGCTCAGTGGATGCTGGTCACCATGCCGCAGCTGTCACCACAGCCCGGGTATCAGAAGGCACAGTCCCAGTTCCCAGTGACCAGTGGACAGGGGCTTGAGAGAGGTTTCCTTTCCATCCCAAGTCTCCAGAAGGCTGCATTCCTGCACCTGAAAGCTCTCTGGAGGGAAGGCATGTGCTATGGACTCAGGGTATACCCCCCAAAATTCATATGTTGAAGCTCTAACCCCAAAGTAATGGTATTTGAAGGTGGGGCCACTGGGAGGTAGTACAGTTGTCCCTGGCATCCTTGGGGGACTGGTTCCAGGACCCCTTTGGACACCAAAATCCATGGATGATCAAATCCCTGATATACAATGGTAGTATTTACATGTAACCTGCACACATCCTCCCGTATACTTTAAGTCATTACTAGGTTACTTATAAGACGTAATACAATGTAATTGCTATGTAAATACTTGTTGTACTGTTTTTTTATTGTTGCATTTTTTTAAAAAATATATATATATTTTTAGTCCTTGGTTGGTTTAATCCATGGATGGGACACCCGTGGATACGGAGGGCCAACTGTAGTTGAAGTTAGGTGGGAGGTCACGAGGGTGTAGTCCCGGTGTGGGATTAGTGCCCTTACTCGAGACACCAGAGAGCTCGCTCCCTGTCTCTCCACCACGTGAGGACACAGTGAAGACGCCAGGAAGAGATCAGAGCCTTCACCAGGAACCAACCGGCTGGCTCCTTGATCATGGACTTGCAGCCTCCAGAACTGTGAGAAATTAAAATTTCCCTTGTTGAGGCTGCCCAGTCTGTGGTGCTCAGTTACGGCAGCCCGTGCTGGCTAAGACTGTGGGAGCTGCAGGGGAGAGGACAGCAGAGGCCTCCGCAGCGACAAGCAGCAGGGGAGCTGCGGCTGCCTCTCTGGGGAGGAAGGCTGCTATCCAGGGACCCCCTTCCCTTAAAGCATGCCCACCCGAGCCCAGCACCACTGCCCCCACCCCTCCGCTGCTCATCCTGGGGTCTCTAGCACAAGGCGGGCTGGCGCTGATCCGCACTCGCACGTGTGCACATAATCTAAAGGACGGAACAACGCCCCAGAACGTTTCTTCCCGAATCCATTTAGCCCCGTTTCCATTCTTTCCCTGTGAAGCTACGACAGAGAGAATTGTGCGCTCTGACTCCCTATCCCGGCCCCAGCTCTTCTCTGCAGAGAACTGTGCATTGGCGAGACAATGGAGTGTCCCAGAGACGGCACCCTCCGTCAGAAGCATCAGAAGCAGTGACCGAGTGGCTCTGTCTGCCCAAGGCTGTCTGCAGAGCTGGACACGGATGCCCGGTCACCACTCCAGAGGCAGCTCTGCCATGGCCAGGCAGCCTGTGAGCCCAGGCAGCCCCCAAGTCAGAGGGCCACGTGTCCAGGCCCTGCTGAACCCCAGCGATAACCAGCCCCGGAACAGCCTGACTTCAAAAGGCTCAGTGAAAGGAATGAAAATCCTTCAGATCCAAAACACTTGGTATCATTTGCAGAAGAAACCCACACGGGGAAAAAGAAAAACATATTTGAGTGAGCGTGCGGGGGAGGGGAGCTATAGGACAGTGGAAGCCCATGGCCTGTGTCTGTCTGCCAAGTGGACTTCGAAAAGTAACAATGACTTTCTGCCTGAGAGTCTAAGTCTGACCATGCCTCCGGGGAAGCAGGCAGACGGCCACAGCTGAGGGAGGAGGAGGCCAGCGGGAGACGCTGGTTAGCAGTGACAGCTGACCTACGCCCACTTGGCTCATCCCGTAAGGGCCTGGGGCTTCCTCCACCTGCCTGCCCGGTCCAGAGTTGCTCTGGGGACTCCATGAGAAGGAGGGGACAGGCTCTGTGGATCATGCTCGCTCTAAGAATGCTAGTGTTTACCACGACACCGGCTCTTCCTACCACACCCTCTGTGTCCCCCCAATGGAATGCAAGGGCCGCCCCTGCCACCCCACCCGCCTTCACAATGTGTAGCGCTGGATTTCCAGCTCACAACCCAGAGAAACTATCTCGTGGAGGGTTAAAAAAATTGAAAAGTCCAAGTGGGCCCATCAAGGAGGCGTTACTGCAGAGCTTCCAGGAGTTTCCCCTGTTGTCAGCAGAGACCTGCCTTTGCTCCCGGTCCAGGCTGCTGACAAATGAAGTATGGCAAAGGTATGGACACCTGCTGGGCTGCGGGGGGCTGGCACTGGACACAGCCCTGCCCATGAGAGCCCCCAAGCCTGCAGGGAGCCTGTGCTGTAACGGGATGGGTCCTGGGGAGCCCGACCAGCTGCCCAGAGAAGGCGAGGTGCAGGATTGGCACTGGCGTGGCCAGCGGCGGCGAGATGAAGGGGGTGTGGGGAGTCAGGACGCGGAGGGTGACGTGCTCAGGCTTTGCCCTGGACACTGCTGGAGTTTCTCTTTGAGAAAGGCAACTTTAGCTGCTGTAGATGAAAAAGAAGTGGAAGCACCAATGTGGCTTTCTTTTTCTAAACTGTCGACATAGTTTAGGAGAGAGGCTGCTGAGAAGGCTGGTGGTGGGTGCAGGAGATACGGTAACGGAGAGGAGACCTCTGGCCACGCCACCAACACAGGAGCACGCTGCAGGCTGGGTGGGGCTGACGGTCCGAGCAGGAGAGTGGCGGCCAATAGCGAGTGGCTTTGCCAAGTGGAAGCACCTGCAGAGCAGCTTTCCAAAAATCACTTAGGAGAATTTGGAGGTCAGCAGAAAACAATGAGGTAAACATTTACGAGTGACCAAATTCTTGCAATTCCCTATCACAACCAAGAAGGTGGACTGGGGTGAAATCAAGGCTTTAGGGGTGGTCAGAGGAGAGAAAACCACAGAACATTACAGTGTGTTTTCTGGAGATTAATCGTTGTTTTTGTTTATTATTGAGGAATGGGATATAGCTCTTATGCTGAGCCAGTGAGACAAAAATTTAGTGTTAGCAGTTATATAAAGAGAGCTGCATCCTTTTAGAAACATGAGGAGAAAACCAAAGTTTGCCTTTCAAGCAACAGATAAATCACTAACTGTGTAGTCCCACTGCCCTCACCATGTTATCAGCCGGAGAGGCCACACACGAAGTCCCGTCCCCATGACCAGCACGCTGGGCATCAACACACTCATTCACATGAGGCCACCCCTCCGTGGGCTGGGGACCTCTGTCCCTGGTCCTCAGTGCTCTCTGTGTGAATCCCCAGAATGGCAGCTTTTTCTCCAGGGGCAGTGGGAGACCACACTTGGATGGAGTCCTGACCCTTGTCAGTACATTCATGGTGTGGGCGAACAGAGACACCAAGCATCCCACTCTGGGGGGACCTTTTTACAGCAAAGGAGGGCAGCCAGCCCCTCTCTGGACCCAGCCCAGTGGGCTCCCTCCTCCTGAAACCTCCCCTGGCCAGATGCAATAAGAATGGAAGTTAAAAGTGAAGCTCTGCACCCCACAAACTCTACTGTGTCTACACAGAGCCGGGCACGGGGGAGGATGTCCCCTCAGCCCCCCACCCCGGCTCCTCCTCTCCCCTCAAGCTCCTCCCACAGCTCATCCTGGCCTGGCCTCAGCTCCACAGGCCACCCCTGGGGAAGGACCTCCTAGTCTCTCTGCTTGGACCACCCCTTCCTTTGCCGGACCCTCCAGCAGAGTCTCCTGTATCAAGTGAAAACAGACGCTGACATTATGGGCCTGGGTCTCACAGCAGCAACTGTGCCACTCAACCAGCCACCCTCTGCCACGTTCTCCAATAGCCCTGTG